TGGTGGGCATATTTGGGTAGCATCACATCCCTCAACGTTCTTAACTCTGGTAAAGGCTCCCATGAATGGTGTGGAGCAAAGCCACAGGACCACCAGACTTGGATGTTCTTGCAAGCTTGGACAATGCCCATCTCAGCAGCAAGTGTGAGTGCAGTGTAGACTAAAGTTTGCTCTCTGGAATAAGGGTCTTACATGGGTGGGGAGGGGAGGCAGAGCCCATTAATGACTAAATTTCTTACAACTTTGGTGGAATAGGTTCTCCAAATAAGATTAAGTTTAAGAAAATATTGTAGGCTGAATTTTTTTGCTTATCTCTTAAGTCCATTCTCCACTTTTTTTTCTCTCTGCTCTGTGCCCCTGGGAGCTAACCTTTTTGGATGGCTTCTACAGACTTCTTTGCCCTCTGGATTCCAGTTGTGTCCAGCCATTGGGAGGCACTGGCAGGAGATCAGAGGAAGAGAAAGGATGAACTGGGATGTTTATTTCTAAGGATCCCTCCCTATGGGTTGACTGAGTCCTTTTACTGAAGGCAGCAGATCCTGTCTGGTGGCCCTGCCTTGTAGTTACTCTCTCTGGGTTGTGTTCTGTTAACCATTCCCTCTCCTTGCCCTCAAAAATCTAAAATCTTTAGAAGCTTTCCCATTGTCATTAGCATGAGGTGGGGGTAGGGGAGCTGCACTATTCCTACTTGACTTCCTTTAATCCTATCTACACTTTTTAAGTAGCTTCTTTGTTAAATCCTCCTCAATTAATTATCTTTTGTGGTGCCATCTTTTCTCTGGCAGGAGCCTGACTAATTAATTTATGGATTCATCTTTTTCACACCTGAGTTTGTGGACTCAAAACCCTTCCATGTGCCACTTGAACTGGGATGTTTATTTCTAAGGATCCCTCCCTATGGGTTGACTGAGTCCTTTTACTGAAGGCAGCAGATCCTGTCTGGTGGCCCTGCCTTGTAGTTACTCTCTCTGGGTTGTGTTCTGTTAACCATTCCCTCTCCTTGCCCTCAAGAATCTAAAATCTTTAGAAGCTTTCCCATTGTCATTAGCATGAGGTGGGGGTAGGGGAGCTGCACTATTCCTACTTGACTTCCTTTAATCCTATCTACACTTTTTAAGTAACTTCTTTGTTAAATCCTCCTCAATTATCTTTTGTGATGCTATCTTTTCTCTGGCAGGAGCCTGACTAATTAATTTATGGATTCATATTTTTCACACCTGAGTTTGTGGACTCAAAACCCTTCCATGTGCCACTTTTTTCTGTAATTACCAAAAACCCTTGTGCAGTTTCTATTAAGGACTCTGAGTAGATTATAACTCCTAGCACTGAAGCCTAATCATTTTGAGATTTTTGACTGAAAGTCCCACATTCTAGGGAAGGTCTCAGTCCCAGGCAAATCGAATGGTTGATGAACCTAGTTTTGACTCTGGTGGTTATAACCTAGTTATGACTTGGGTGTGCATGCAAAGAAGTCCCTAGTGACTTGTGTCTAGTGGAGTATGATGAGACAGAGTTTGAAAATTACTGCACAATTCTACATATAAGATTATCCAGAAGATGAAAGAAATTAGGATAAATGCAACCCTGCTGAACAATTGTTTCAAAATACTTTTTAAAAAAGTATATAAATCTATTGTCACATTTTTATCTTACATAAAATATATTATCTCTCAATATCAACATGCACAAAATTCTATAATATTGTAAATATATTTTAAAGTAAAGGTATAATTTGTAGGATTGAAAATATCTATAAAATAACACACTTTATACACGATGCTTACATTCTATAAAATTAATAAATTTGTAAGAATGATTACTAAAGAATTTACCTGGTCATGAAAATAACTCACAGCAAAGCCTCCTCCTTCATTTCACGTTAATATTCCCTTTGAAGGTTTCAAAGAGCTTCACAAATCTCAGGCCACTAGAAAGAAAGGATTTCATCTATTTGCACCATAAATTGCACAGCAAAACCTTTATCACATGTTTACTGAAAAATGCTGGACTGGATGATAAGTATAGTGTAGCATAGATCCCAGGGGCCTCCAATGCTTACCTAATACTTTTTAGTGGGTCATGGATATGAGACCCTCATTTCAGAATGATTAAAAATTCAACAACTGCCCTAACCGGTTTGGCTCAGTGGATAGAGCGTCAGCCTGCGGACTCAAGGGTCCCAGGTTCAATTCCGGTCAAGGGCATGTACCTTGGTTGCGGGCACATCCCCAGTAGGGAGTGTGCAGGAGGCAGCTGATCGAATGTTTCTCTCTCATCGATGTTTCTAACTCTCTATCCCTCTCCCTTCCTCTCTGTAAAAAAATCAATAAAATATATATTTTTTTAAATCATGTTTTTGCACATTCAAGTTTCCATGCTGGGGAGGTTTTCAAGGCAGAAAATATCAATTGGTTGAAGTGTAAAAGTTAACAGAAAAGCAAATACTGGTTGGGGAAAGCACGTTAGAGAGAGACCATCTTATTTTAGTTTGTTTTAGTTTAAACATTGCTTTTTATTGCTTGTAATATAATACACTTGTTCTGATTTACATTAATGAACTAAGAGGACTTCGGCATACCTGAGAAAGATATTATTTTAATAAGTCATGTTTTTCTGGTAGGCTAAATGACTACTTGGCTATATTGATCCATGGCAGAGAAAAATAAGAGTGAACAATGTATTAACAGTAAGATGAAAGAGGTAGAACAGATAAATGTGATTCAGAGCTTTGGTCCTGGTTGGATTTCAGAGAAAAATAGACTCGTAAATTCTTCCCACCACAAATGTATAAATTGTTTATGCTTTCTCACTGCATTATTAAGGCACTTCCAGGTGGTAAGAAACAAACATGTTTGTATCTACACTCATGAAGGGAATTCATTGTAGATTTGTAGAAGAAGAACTTGCTTCAGCAATCAAATATCTAGGCCTCAAGAGATCTGTGTGTGTCCCCAGAAAATTTTAGATGCCTCATCAGAGGCAAGGGTCTATTGCTCCCTTTTCTGGTCACTCCACTGTTTCATTTAATGCTCTGTTCTCTTTTGTGTTCACTTTCTTTTTTATTTTTGTTTCCTGGTTTCTGATAACTCATGATGTTTGCTTACTCATGGCTCTTTCTTACTCATTTACTTTTTTGAGTCTCTTAAATTTTTTTTCTCTGTTCCTTCCCTTCCCCTCCTCTAATTATGTTGAATAATCACTACTAATTTTATTCTGACCTTTTAAGTTTCCCTTCCTCTCTGTAAAAAAATCAATAAAATATATCTTTTAAAAAAATCATCATTCTCCCCTTAAAAAATAAATAAATAAGATAAATAAAAATTTTTAAAAAATTCAACTACTTCTTAAAGGTGGAGGAACAGTGTTGTCAGAATCCTGGGTACAAGGTGAAAATGATCCTCCATACCTAGACCTGACTTTGGAGGCATGGTTTACCATGTTGAAACAGATGACAGAGCTGGGAAAGGTCAAGTAGCTTGTGATGGAAATGATTACCAGAAACTAAGAGTGCTTTTCGGAGATATAGTTTCCGTCCCAAGAGGAAAGGCAGTTGTATCTTGGATGAGGCTAATTTGAGATGGCAGGGAGCTGAAAAAGAACACAATCTGTGGAATGTCTGAGGAAGTCAACCTGAAGAGGCCACTAGTGCTCCCACGTAGAACATGTCAGTGGCCGTGGTGGAAGGCACTTGAGAGCTGGTTCCAGGGCCTGCGATGAGAGAATACAGTGGGTAAAAATCCTAAGTGTTGCCAGAGTTTAGGAAAAGCTGACCATATAGTAGCCCTCCCTTATCTGCAGTTTTGCTTTCCATACTCAGTTACCCTGCAGTCAATAGTGGTCCGAAATTATTAAATGGAAGATTCTAGAAACAAACAATTCATACATTTTTAAAAATTTATCGATTTGAGAGAGAGAAACATTGATTTTTTTGTTGTTGTTTCACTTATTTCTGCATTCATTGGTTGATTTCTTGTATGTGCCCTGACTGGGAATCGAACCCACAACCTTGGTGTAGCAGGACAATGTTCTAACCAACTGAGCTACCAGGCCAGGGCCACAATTTATAAGTTTTAAATGGGATGATGTGCTGAGTAGCATGGTGAAATTTTGCACCATCCTGCTCTGTCCTGCCCGGGCATGTGCATCATCCCTTTGTCCAACATATCCCATTTATCAGAGAAAGAGAGAGAGACCACATTCACATAACTTTCATTACAGTATATTGTTATAACTGTTCTATTGTGTTATCAGTTATTGTTGTTAATCTCTTACTGTGCCTAACTAATGAATTAAACTTTACCATAGGTGTATGTGTATAGGAAAAACATAGTATATATAGGGTTGGGTACGATCTGTGGTTAAAGCATTCACTGGGGGTCTTGGCACATATCCCCACAGATAAGGAGGGCCTGGTGTATTCATAGTAAAGTTAGAGACTTTGTTACAAAGAACCTGCCCTCAGATCCTGGAGAAGAGTGTCGCTGACCCACTTGGCACAGGTGTGAGCAGGAGCCAGGATAAGCATCTTTCCCTGTGAGGAACTCAACCTGACTGGACTCAATTCCTTTCAACCTTCTCCCACGTAGGGGAGCTGGTGAAAAGGGGGAAAGAAGAGGCAGCTGTTTCCTTCAACAAGGTCGGAAACATGGGTCCGTTTGAGGCAATTGGCCCAAACCCTGCAGGGAGTAGGTCAATTTCTTCGCTTTGCTTCCACGTCTTCCCTATAAAAGTCTTCCTTTAGCTCAGTGGTTCTCAACCTTCTGGCCCTTTAAATACAGTTCCTCATGTTGTGACCCAACTATAAAATTATTTTCATTGCTACTTCATAGCTGTAATGTTGCTACTGTTATGAATCGTAATGTAAATATCTGATCTGCAGGATGGTCTTAGGCGACCCCTGTGAAAGGGTCGTTCGACCGCCAAAGGGGTTGCGACCCACAGGTTGAGAACCGCTGCTTAGCTCCTGTCTCCTAACCACTTCTGGTTTGGCTCTGCTGGATTCAAATCAACTTTTGCTCAAATAACCTCCAAAACATTTTTAATGTGCCTCAGTTTGTCTTTTAACACCCCACTCAGCTGCTCTGTTATCTGAAGACTTCAAGTTATCTGGGCTTAATACAAACTCGGAACCAGCTCTGACAAAGGGAAGATTTGGGGCTATCCTGGGAGGAAGACATTTTTCCAAGAGGGCTCAGGTCCTGAAAGGTACAGGCAGGACATGTCCCCTGTGCTCAGCTAACATAGTTAGCTCTTGGGGAAATATTACTGTGATATTGTGATTTATAATCATAAATACATACTTGGTTTTCCTCCCCATTCCTGGCACAGAACTCCTTAAACTCTTCCAACTTCCTAAGTGATGAAAGCAGTGAAGCTGCCTTTTGCTATTCATAACAAGCCCCTTTAACCACATCGGAGTTTATGTTAACGAAGTGGCTGTAGGAAAGCTCCTAGGTCACTGAAGTTTGGGGGCTGGTTGCCAGGGAAGCCGACCATGTGATTAGAGGGTTGGAACATTCAGTCCCACTCCTAACCTCTGGGGAGGAGAGAGAGGAAATTGAGTTCAACCATCAATTGGCCAAAGATGTAATCAATCATGTCAATGTAATGACGACTCCATAAAACCCCCCGAAAGAGTGGGGTTTGGAGAGTTTCTGGTTTGCAGGGCAAAAATGCCGGGAAGGTGGTGCACCCCAAACTTCAAGGGGACAGATGCTCCTGTGCTCCGGACTCTTCCGGACTTTGCTCTGTGTGCCTCTTCATCTGTCCGTTCCTTCAGATCCCATTCATATCCTTTGTAATACGCTGGGAATCTAGTAAGAAAACTGATTTCCTAAATTCTTTAAGCTAAGTAGCTTGTAGCAAATTAGTCAAACCTGAGGAGGGGGTCATGGGAACCTTAGATCTATTGGAGAGGTGGTGATGATACAGTGGGGAATGAAGAACACCTTGACCAAGTGATCCGGATTAGTACCTCCAGTGGGAGGCAGATGGAGAGCTTGTGCGTCCAGATGAGCTTCCCGTGAAAGACACAGCATCATCGAGGTAAGGAATGTTGTATTAAAAGAAGGGAAGACTATTTTTTAAACATGCCAATGTTATAAAAGGCAACGGAAAGCTGTGGGAATATTCCAGATTAAAGGAAGCTAAAAAGATCAGACAACTAAATGCAGTATTAGGTTAGGTGTCTGTGCCGGAGGAGAAAAAAATGCTATCAAAAACATTTTTGCCTTAATTCACAAATGTGAAATTCAGACAGTCAAATAGATAAAAAGTATGATATCAATGTTAAATGTATTGAAGTTGCTAACTGTACTGGGGTTACATAAGAGATAATCATGATCCTTAGGAAATACACACTGAAAAGTTTAGGGGTAAAAGACCACGATTTATGTAACTTGCTCTCAAATGGGTGAGGCAAAAAGAGAAAATAACAAAGCAAATGGGGTGTAATGTTAATAAGTGAATCTGGGTAAAAGGTATGTGGGTTATTTTCTTACTACTCATAGTTACAACTTTTCTGTATGTTTGAAATTATTTGCTAATGAAAAGTTAAAATGATTTTCAGAACATGCTTTTTGTTCTTTCTGGCTTTTTATGTACATTTTTAAAAATTTTATTTTATTGCTTAAAGCATTACAAAGAGTAGTACATATGTCTCCTTTTTTCCCCCATTTACCTTCCCCCGGCCTCCCCTACCCCCCTGTATCTTGCGTCCATTGGTTATGCTTATATGCATGCATACAGTCCTTCAGTTGATCTCTTACCTCCCCTGCCCCAACCCTCCCCAGCCTTCCCACTGTAGTTTGACAGTCTGTTTGATGCTGCTCTGCCTCTGTATCTATTTTTGTTCATCAGTTTATAATGTTCTTTATTA